AAAAAAAGGAGGTATTTTTTTTCTTGTTTTTTTTTTTTTTTTTTTTTTTTTTTTTTTTTTTTTAACAACCAGAAAGCTTTCTGGTTTTCTGGAATTGAAAACTTGTAAAAAAACAAAAACAAACAAACAAAACCTTCGTCCTAGCCAAAACACACACTAACAAAACTACCAGAAGTGTTCAAGATTGGTATCTCTAAGAAAAGGGCCTACCCTATAACAGCATAGTAGCTACCACTTTCAAATTAAGCTAAAACCTATGGTTTTGAATAAAGTGTTTCATCCCTACTCATTTTAGTGCTTTTAAAAATCTGACATGACCAACTCTTATTACACACTTTTACTTCAGCAATTTAAATCAATTTTTAACAAACATAAACTTTTATATTTAAAAATAAAGGACTCAAACAAAAACAAAAACACCTCTCCCAAAGTTGCATCCTAAATTGGCCAAGCATTTTCATCAAATATTTAAAATAAAGATTTCCATACCTGTCTTCATCCCCATCAACAGGAATAGCTATGCTGAACACAGAGGTGGCAAGACTGTTCATAGGTGTTAACTGAAGAGGGTTTGCTAGAGACTCTGCAACAGGTGGCTTCACAACAGGCTTATTTTCAGCAATGAGAGAAAGTGGTGGTTGAGGTAGGGGTTCTGATTTTCTTCTAGTATCGTCAATTTGCCCGACTAAAGGCTGGGTCTGAGTCTGAAAATGACTTAGGTCAGACTGTGGTAGACTTGTTGGCGCACTGTGAGTGCCTTGCGCTAAGGGCAGCCCAACGTGCTGGATCACACTGCTGCTCCTGCTGACTGGTGTATGGCTGCTCAGCGGCTGCGACTGGCCCAGAGGCGCAGGTACATTTGGCATAGTAACAGAAGTGGTAGACACACTAGGCACGCTTGGAGCGGGTACGGCTGCAGGCACGTTTGGAACTCCCGGCACCACGGTGTGAGGGCCACCAGGCAAGGCTGACAGCTGACCACCGCCAGCGATCTGCGGCGGAGGCAGGGACTGGGGCTGCCCGGCCCCCGCAGGACCCATGCCTGGCTGCACACCTCCTACAGCAGCTGGGGACACCCCAGTCGGTGGACAGGGCGCGGCCTGCCCGCCTGGTGCTAGTCCCGGCCCCACAGCCACAGCTTCACTGGGCTGGGAAGACGTGCCCCTAATCTGTACGCCCACCGAAGAGACATTCTGGCCAGAGCCCATGGGAAAGTTAGCCGCAGCACAGGCGGTGGCTCCGGCGCTGGTGGAGGAAGGCTGCGCAGGGCTCGAGGGCTGGAGGCCGGCCACGTGCTGCTGCAAGTACTCACCCTGGCCGGAGGGCTGGCCCGGCAGCAAATGCCCGGGCTGCATCTGAGGCTGGGGATAGGCGAACTGCTGGGAATGTTGCATCGCGGGAGCGCCGACGGCCGGGACCGGCTGCGGAGGTAGGGACGCGGCCGGCTGCGCCAGGGTTACATTCGTCGGCGGCAGACCTGGTCCACCCGGTCCTGAAGGGGAGCCGCCAGGCCCGGTGCCCTGTAGCTGGCTTTGCTGTGCGGCCGCTGCTCCCGCAAACGGCGGCAGCAGAACCGAACTTTGAGCCACAGCCCCACCTACGGGCGGCGGCTGCGGCTGCGGCTGCCCAACGCTAAAACTCTGCGGCTGGGCCGGAGTGGGTTGGCTCATTTTCTCCGACGGGGGTAGCTGTGACACAGCAGTCAAGGAGCTGTCAGCTCCCAAGTTGGGCCCGTGCGCCCCCTGCACGGAGGCCACCACTACCACGACAGACCCTCCGGTGGCGCCCAGGCCGCTGTCCCGCTCCGCAGTCTGCTCAAAAGTACTGCTGTGTCTAATGCAATCCCCGGACCGAGTGAGGACGCTGCTGTCGGAATCCCGCTCGTAGTATTCCATACACGTCCATCGGCCGCGTCGGTAGGGCTCCCCGCTCCCGTGGTCCAGCTTGATCACGCGGAAACGGGAACTG